GTTGTGGGGTCTGAGTGGCTGCAGCAGAGGTGGGGAGCGGGAGGGAAAGAGGGACAGGGAGCATGCACACACAGACACAGAGGCTGCACACAGCTAGGATTGCAGCCAGATGGCACACAGAGCATTGCCCACCACAGCAGATAAGCCAGCATTTGTGGCAGTGGCAGTGGGGTGCAGAGCCCTGAATGGAGAGGGCAGCCTGCCTCCACCCCATGCACAGAGCTGGGGGGCACATGCCCCCCTGGGCTTCTCCCAAGGTACATGCAGTGGCAGGAGCACCCCGGCACCACTGGACTATCTGCCCAGGCTCCAGATATCTCACAACCCACCCCAGGGCCCCACTTACCCCAGTCCCTGCCCCACCCCCATGCTCCTTCCCCTTCCCTGACTAACCTGCTGTGGTACGCAGTGCTCAGCACACCATCTGGCTGCAATCATGGCTGTGTGCAGGCTCCGTGTCTGTCTGTGTGTGCCCTTCCCCCCCTTGCTGCAGCTGCCCAGAGCCCATGCTGAGGCTGCCTTGTGGTCCTCAGTGTTGTCCTGCGTTTGAGGGGATTAAGCCCCATTAGCCCTGGCCTTCTGCTGTCTATGGCTGTATGCCTGCCTGCCACATGTACACAGGTAAAGTATCTTTTTTCACGAAATATTCATGGAACTACCAGGACCCATTTGCCAAGATCAATGGCAGTTCCATGAATATTCCATGAAAAAAGATACTTTACCCATGCACATGCCACTAATTTTTTACAATAAATCTGTGATTCTCTCAGGGCCGTAGTTATACTGGATCATTTTATCAGAAATTTTTCTGCCATTTTTTGCCTCCTCTTCATGCCCTACATGAATCCCAAGGTAGAAAAGAACTTTGCTTCACTAAGGACATTTGTAGCCTCCCTACAAGGGTAAGAGACTAAACATCACAGGTAGTATTTTCATACAGCTGTTTATAGATTTGGACAGACCTGTTCGTTTTTCATTGCTACTACAGTGGAGTGACAGAGGAATTGCTGCTTGGCTGAATGCTCCAATAACCATCACGGTCCTGCCCTACTTCTTGGGAATTAGCTGGAGGATCTTCTGATGAACCTGATATATTAGGGTGAGCTCCATTAGGGATTATATAATTTACAGCAGTAGTATGCCTCAAGCCAAGGGTTACCAGAGGGGAGAAAACACGCCTTTGCTCTAATTCCCTCAATTTTTCCATCTAGTCCTCTAGCACTACCATCCCAAGAAAGGCCACCTTAAGGGAATATGATTTTGTTTCTGTTAGGCTTGGATGTATAAGCCTTTCTTCACCTCAGAATGAGAAGATACAGGTGGAAAGATAAGTTATTAGATCCCACACAGCCTACCTCCTGGGATACTGTGGAGCACTGAAACTATTGTATGTTTCTGAGAATTTTTTTTGTTCACTTAATTGTTCATTTCTTCTACGGCAGTGGTTCCCAAACTCTGACAGATTGCGCACCACCAGTTGAAAATGATACAACCTTAAGTACCACCAGCAAATTTTTCAATTCAACCTTAAGTACCACCAGCAATTTTTTGTCATATAAGGTAATTATATCTGTTAACGTGTACCACTGACAAGTTGTCTGAGTACTGCTGGTGGTACCCATACCACAGATTGGGAACCACCGTTCTATGGGAAGACAGAGTCTATGGTTAGCTAAAAATCTGTCTAGTTATCAGAAATTTCTCAATATATAGGTCTTTATAGATCACAATCAAGCATCTTCTTTAATATGTTGTTTGATAAGCTAAATAGATTGGGTTCTTTAAGCTGTCACTGTGAACTGTATTTTCCAGCCTTTGCACCTTTCTTATGGTTTTTCTTTGAATCTTCTTGAAGTTTTCAACATCCTTTTATGGAGTGTGCATACCTCTAACTGTACCATGGTACTCCAATAACAACCTTGTCAGTGCTGTGTACAGACATAAGATAACTTTTTGTATCATTTACCCATAAAAATCTCACTAGCTGTGTACATACCTGTGTATTAGCTCAGATTCTTTTGGCTAAAAAATATCTAATGAGGCTGTGCACGCATACTGCATGACCTTAACTGTCCCCCACCAAAACAGGGAGCACAGAATGGGTCCACCCATCAGTGCCACCTGTAACAAGGAGATGGAACACCTAGAGTGTGTAGTTGCTACTTCAGGGGTGTAGGTTGTAGCTGTGTTGGTCTAAAAACATAGGCAGACAAGGTTCTTTGGGTAAATCAGATATCTTTTATTAGACCACCTCAAATAGTTGGAAAAGTTCTTCTTAGTGAGCTTTCAGGCACAAATACCCTTTGTCAGGTTAAGGAAGATGGTCTGTGCTCTTCCTGGATGGAGTGGTAAAGCAGCCAGAGGCCAGTACCTATGCAAGAAAGTCAGTCAGTTAAAACGTAAATTGAGGTGGCCAGTAGGTCAGAGACAGATAGGGGATAGTGGGTGCAGGGGGAGGGGGGAGGGGGAATGAATATAGTTGTAGTCAAAGGATGAGAGACAGGAGGGTGAGGTGGGGAAGGGAATGAGAATAACTGGTAAAAAGTGGAGAGTTTACCTGGGGAGTCAGATGTTAGGCAGGTTATAATGTGTCATAAATCCAATGTCTATATTTAGTCCATGATTTTTTGTATCTAGGAGATACAAAAAAGATTTTAAAAAGTAGTTGCTTCTTCATAATTTCTTTCTTTCTTTAAATCTAATATTGTTTTGACTAGTTTTAGCTTCTTACTGTCATTGTTACTTCATTTTTCTCCAGTCAACCTACGCGGAAGAAATGTTACTTAGTGCCTTTCCCCTACAGGAGGCACATCTACATGTGCATTAATGTGCTATAGTTGCTGCACATTAACTTTAGTACCTGTTATTACAGGTACTAAAGTCTCTGGGTTTTAAAATCTGTCTTTCTGGGAGGCAGCTTTACTTTGAAATCATGGGCATATTAAAAAACACTTTAGTTTTGGAAAAAAACATTTTCCAGACAAATATTCAGTAACAACTGCACAATCCACTGCATGTAGACACAGCCTCTGAGTGTGGTTTAGCATTTGAAGAGGCTACCTAGAGAGGTTGTGGAACCTCCATCCCTGGATATGTTCAGAAGCAGGTTAGACAGACATTTTAACTGGGATGGTTTAGTCAGGGATGATCCTGCCTTGAGCAGGGGGATGAAGTAAATGAGCTCAGGGGCTACAAAGAGAGAGGCTTGGACGTGCAGTATGTGGCGCCGCAGACCTGTCTGCAGTGCCACACACCACACATACAGACATTCCCTGCACTGCTACCTTGCAGTGCTGGGACTTCATAAGATCATAGGCAAGTCAAGGCATGTTAAAAAGCAGGGAGGCCCATGTGGTGGCAGTGCACACAGCACAAAACCAAAGCGTGGACAGCTAGAGCCATACTTTGGCAGCTGCAGCCTTGGGAGGCTCCCAGGACCCCAGGTGAAGCTGCTGGGGCCAGCACAGTTGCTGGCCCTAGACTTCTCTACCCCACCCAAGGTAACCTGCCCTGCCAGCAGAACACATGTGGCATGGGCATTCCCCAGGCAGTGGCACAAGGTGTGCTGCTGGTACTTGTCCCTGGGGAAACGAACATCCTCACTCTTCTGGATGCAGCCTCTAGTTCCTTTCCAGCCCTACTTGCCTATGATCTTATGAAGTCCTAGCTAATATTCCAGTAACCTGAGATGTTACCACTGTTGCTCAAACCTCTTTCCTGAAGTTTGAGCACCAGGGACCTCACATCTTGGTTTAACAGGTCCAAGGCATACACATAAGCTTATTATTGCTTTGGAGTTTTTTTGCTTCTGGGTGCACCACTTGAATGTGTGCCTGGGAGCAAAAAAACTCCAGAGCACGTTGCCCCAGTCTGGGCTTATAGGAGATCCAGGGGGTAAGCCTACCAGCCCAGAGCTGCTCTGATCAGGCTACATGTGCTGTGAGGGGGCTGGCTGGGTCATAGAGTGCCTCAGCATAGGGGCTGCCTGCTGGCTAGCCCCCATGTTGAGGCACCTTGCACCCCAGCCACGTGAGGCAGTGTCTACATGTGCACTGCTGCATATGAAAAAACTGAAGGAGGAGGGTAGTACTTGTATTTTACAAGACTACCTTGCTGCAGAGTTTATTAGTTTCATGTGCCCTAATAGAGGTGCATGTGTAGACACCAAGACGTTTGCTGCACAGTTAATTAGTCAACTGCTCAGTACACAACTTGTGTAGACGTGCCCACAGTATAGTAGAAGGCATAATTATTTTAACCTTACAGACTAATCAAAGTAAAATATATATGTATACCACAATATTTTGTGGGCTAATGCTCACTTCGTCACATGCTGTGAAAGGATGTGCATGAAGAAGTGTATAAGGAGAGAGGAATTTGGAGCCAAGCTTGAAATCTTGTCAGCAACAACAAAAAAGTCACTAGAGACTGAAACTCTCTCTCCAATGCCCCTCATGGGGCTGCACATGTAGGACCCACTGTCAATCTTCCACCTTCCAGAATGCCCCCTCAGTGGCCCAGCATGATTCACATTTGGTTCACATTTGAATTTGGACACTTCATCTTGCAACCAAATGTGACACATACCTGGACCAAGAAGCAGAAGAGTTGGTGGGTGTTGTTGGAGTCAGCTTCTGTGAGCCAGGAGAAAGGAGACAAGAAAGGAGAGGGGTGCCATGCTGGAAGATGCAAACAAGCAAGCAATAAATCCAGAGGAACAGAAGGATTTACAAAAGCTAATCCAGATAATGAGATAAAAATCCATAGTCTCTGTTTAAACCATAATTAACACAATCCAGACTGTAAATGATTTCTTGTTCCACGATTTCCTGTTCAAATCGGTTTCTGCCTTAGAACAGCCATCCTCAGGTCAGTGATGGAATGTCCAGGGATTTTAAAATGTTCTGCCGCAGGCCTCTGCATCTTTCTGCAACTGATATCAGATCCATTTTCATTCATTTTTTTTTTTCATGTTGGGATCACCTCATCTGTCCCGTGTAGATAGCAGAGGGGCACTGTGAACAGGTGATGGCATATATGATGTTGGTAGACTTGCAAGTGAATAAACTTCATATGTTATAGTCGGTGTTATTCATCCTAGTGACAATATGGTCTGTACTGATGTTGGGGCACAACAGGTATCTGGGTCCATTGCAAGGCCTGGTGCCTCAGTGAAACTAGGAGTTAAGTAACTTGTTCCTTGAGAGATGCCATTTAAGACTTAGGGGCTTGCCTACACACCAGGACAGGTTTGCCCCCCTTGACTGCTTTGAGATGGACTACTTTTCCAGGAGGGTTGAAGGTCATTAATGATGTGACTAAAGTGTTTAAACTGGGAGCAGCATGTGACAACCAGAGGGACTCTATTGTCCTTGTCCCAAGCCTGGTATTGTAGCAAGTTGGAGTGAGGTTTGAGTCTGGCTTTGTTGATTTGAATGGCTACAGTTTTGGGATTGTATTGTAATTCTAGAAATTCCTGCTCCAGATCCTTAAATCTGTTCTGATGCAGGTTGGTGGGATCAGAGCAGATATGGTTATAATGCAGAGCTTGGCTGTAGACAGTGGCTCTAGTGGTGTGCTTAGGATGAAATCTGGTGGCAAAGGTAGCTGTGGTTCAGTTGATTTTATATAATGTGGTGGCAATGTGTCCATTGCAAACCTTCAAACTGTGGCTCAGCACGACCCTCCTCCTTCCAGTTCCACACTCCCCACTCTTGCCTGTTCCAGGCTCCTCTTTATACCGGAATTGGAATTCCCAGCCCCTCTCCTCCAGAAACACCTGGGTAAGGAGGGTTTCTGCCAGGTCCTTTGGGGCTGTTAGTCTGGGGCCACTGACCCTATGTTTAGCCCTTGCTCTTTTGTGCCCTGTGACTCTCTCTCTTTCTCACAGGGTGTCAGTGTATGAGAGATCCATGGTAGCAGATATGGCATTAGCTGGAAGCTTGTCAATGAATGCCAGTTTCTTTAAGAAATCTGTGGTATTTTTCAAATAGCTGGCAACTTCAGTGGCATACAGGATATGATAGAGTCAATGTAGCCAGAGACTCATTTCATGATGGTGTCAGTGTCAGAGAGTGGGGTGGCCTGGGTTACCAGGTTTGTAGATCTTGAGTAATAAGTAAGGGTTGCCTGACTTGGGCTCCTAGGAGGCAGAAGCAGCAATCCTCTCCTTTGTTTCCTGAGGCTGATCCTATAAGAGTTTATCCAGTTCCTCCTGGTATTGTGCCATGTATGATACAAATCTGTCATCTTCTGTGGTACTAGCTAAGAAGAAATTGGTATGTCAACACTGACTTATTAAATCGTGTTTGTTCCAGTTGTCTGACAGACATATTTTTCAGCTCTAGTACCTTCATATCTCAGTTATCAGTGTCTGATTTCTGCATTCAGGAACATCAGTGCAGTGGTGTGAAAAATGACTTCAGGCTGTGACAGTAGCCTCATCTGTACAACCATACTTTCC